CCTGAATTAGAAATCATAATATATTTTTCTCTTCTGCTGATTAGGAGGATTCTTCAAAGGTTAGTGTTGCTCGAGGATATATTTATACAGAAGAGAATTCTTAATTACAAGTCTTGAAATTTTAATTTCCCTTTCCTTTTTGGTGTGTTATTAACTGCCTCTCTGAAGGGCTTCTATTTCTTTTGATGGGTTTTCTTTATTATCGTGTAGAAGTTGGCTTCGTGTGTTATAAAGATATAATCTGAAGTTAAAAAGATATCTGAATTCTTGTTAATGTGTAATTGTTATGGTTTACATTTGTGATGTGTATCTGTGTTTCTATCTGCGACCAAATTAGGTTTGTTAATCTGAAGGGCCTTACGAATCTGGCTTGTTTGAGTTCAAATCTAGTTTTTTGAAAGCTCTTATTTGGAACTTCTTCTTTGATTGTTGGGTTGGTCAGATTTCTTCTCGATGTGGGATCTTGGGACATTCTTTACGACACCATTAGAAGCTATTTAGTTTTTGTGGTTGTGTTGTGTCTGTTTGAAGGTTTTAAAGCAAGATGGTAGAAATATCAGGATTTTGAAGTTTTAAAAAATTGTAAGAGCAAAACGGAGCTGATGTGTTGGATTCTGGTTGAGACTCTAATAATAAAATGAATTAGAATATCATGAGTTTGGAAAAGAGAAATTGAAGGTTAGTTAATGTCTTTCCCTTGAAAATGGAAACAATTGTAAGGCTAACTTTCATTCTTTAAGTCAGCACATTGGTGTTACACAAATAGCAAAGTTTCAGTGTAATGGATTCCTGAATGCCATTTGCTGTTTGGACTTTGGACAGTGTTGTGTTCAAGTTGTGCTTACACCATGTCAGTCAAGCACTCCGAGAAAGGAAAATGAAACATATTCCATCTTATATTGTAGATTTTATTGTTTTATGTTGTCGTGCATTTGAACCAGTGAGTGTTCAATTTCATTGGCCCCACTAGTTACTTCAAATTCTACAATTTGCTCTGGAGTCAATACCCAATGGGAAAAATTTAGTTAAATGTACACATTTTGGTATCTCTCCTGCTGAACACCGTTCTTTAGATTTTCAAGGATGGAATTTTAGTTTTTGTGCTGAGTGTCCAATGCAATAAAAGTCCACTTTCCTGGAATTGCGCTCTTCTTTTGGTTTGTTCTTTGCTAGGCTAACCTTCAAGCATGTATACAACAAGTCTCCTTTTGACATGCTATTCTTTAATTGTTGCTGAACAGCTCTGTTTGAACGCTATCTAATACGGCTTTAGTATTTTGCATTTTCCCCTGTTCCTATAGGTATATCATTTGTGTTGTATGGATCCCAGTGTTCGCGAAAACGAGGTTTCGGTGGAGGTGGCCCGTGAATCACTCATTGCCATATCATTCTCTGTACCTGATATGATCCTTGCCCCAACTGCTGTGGAAAATTTCAGTTCTGTAGACGAAGTGACTGCAGCTAACACTGACACATCTGATGAATTCAGGTCCAAACTGATCTCCATTTCCTATATCCAGTCTCAAGACCTTGGTATTAATAGATGCAACGGACATTTGTGAGCATTGGATTGGGCGAACTTAAAGTGTGATAATAATCAACACACTTTCTGTATTTCTTTCCCTTCGTTTGATAAATCTGGTCTGGCTGAGTAAACAAATGTGATGTTTGAACATGTCCACTAACTCTCCTGTAACAGAATTTTATTTTTGGTTGTAAATGTCAAGACTTCGATGGTCTCTTCTGCTTTGACATTTATTTTTCCTTTCCTGGGGGATGTTGCTTCATTTCATTTTCTGTTGATCCATCTTCCATGCTGGGGTTATTCATAATCTTTTTTAATTTGGATGTGAACATGGACATTTCTAACATCCTGTATCAGCTATTATCTGTTTTGTGTTCTCTTCCGTATGTATGCTTTTTGGGAATTTGTATGACAAGACCAATTGTCCCTTTGTTTGTGTACATTTCCCTCATGCATTTCTTCTAGAAAGTGTTCATTACCTGAGGCCAACGAGATGCTAACATGAGAAGAGATGAATATAGATGTGGAAGAGCTATGGTCCTGTCTAGGTAGTCAACATTATTGATGCTTTTCCTAAACAATGAAATTGTTCAAGTAGCACTGGTGATATTTCTTGAAGCAGCATTTTGGATTAATGAATCTTAGGATAGAAGTAGCCACCTGTTGATCCTTCAGGCTCGTCACACCATTTTAGATAGGCGCGGAACTATTGAAGTGAGATAAGCGGCCATCTCCTTTCTTGCGAAGTGCAGGAGTTTTCTCTGTTTATATCTAAGGTCATGTTCTCTTTCAACTTTTAGTATCCCAAGCTACAGATTTTCTTCAGTCAGATCCCTGCTTTCTCTTCTTCCCTGCTAAAAGATAACTCCAAGAAACCTGGAATCCTCTTTAGCTGAGGTATGACGCCGTCTTTGATTCTTCGTAGTTTACAAGCAATACTTTAGTGAATGCTTCGAGTATCCCAAAGCATGCTCCCTGCATTGACCATGTCCCATGACACCTCTGCAATATTTGTCAAAAGCCCTTTCGAGTGAAGGGCCAAAGAAGAGCTTTGGGTCTAAAGTTTACTTGCATTTCACCAAAGGAGAAAATCTGATCAAAACCGGCTACGGCACATAATATTTAGATTACGTTTCAATCTGCTTCGAATTTATGGTTTGAATCATGCAGTCAAAATGGCCAAGTTTGGCTTCTCCTGTCCGGTCGGATTTCATATCTTGTTCACACCACCGTCCGGAATTAAGGAATATTTATTAGAAGATAAGTTAGGATCATCTCACGACCATAAGTTAGGATCGTTTATAATCCCACGCCAACAGCTTCCTTCGTGCATAAAGAAAAATGAAATGACTTGCCTTTGCTTTCTTCAGATCTTGTTATTTTCCTGGAATGCTGCTACGAATAACAAAATTAGAGAGGTCCATGTGGCACTTCCTTTTATTTTTTCGTTGGTAAATTGTGACACTTCCTTTGGTTCAAGAAGCAAACCTTTTTGTCTAACAAGGCGGGGATGAGCTCGTGTGGTTTATTCATCAGTTTGGTGATACTGATAGTTGTTGCCTTCACCAAAACTGAAAATTGCATTACTTTTTTACACTATAAACGAAGATTGGTAATCAAGTTTGTACAATTCGTCAAATATCTGAAATTGAAAAGTAGGATGCAAGATACAAGGATTGTTTGACGGGAATGATGGGCCACTATGAGTGTATGTTTGTGTACAACAATCTTAATTGACTCACGATATGTTATCACGTATCGTGATAGCACAATTTGGTAATGAGAGAGATAAGATAATATTTTTCTCGTTCCAAAATTATTGTCGAATTTATGTTTTTATTTTTAACTAATTTGTACTTAAAATGAAAAATTAAATAGGATGATAATTTCGGGACGAAGGGAGTAGAAATATAGTTAAAGATGCAAAGTTAACCGCTGCCCAGATAAACTGGAAACAAACCATGAATGAAATTGCAAGATGGACTGTAGTGCACACTACATACTCAAGCTATCGTTGGGTTTTCGAAAAATCAATAATAATAAAGGGAAAAAAATTTAATCTTTGGTGGTTCAAAATTAAATTATAGGACATACAAAACATTTGAAATTTAACAATGTTGATTATTAGAATATTTTTATTTTCGATAAACGTAATAGATACTTTCAAATTGGAGTGAGCATTCGTGGATTTCTTCGTCTCATGATGAATTGAATCATTAGTATGACTAGCGAGATAAATTAAAAATAAATAAATAAACAGGGACAAATAATACGTTGATCAAAATAAAGGCATTAGAGAGTTCCCAGTGAATTGTTCGAGTTAATAATATATTCATATTTATAATGAAGAGAACTTACGTGGACGAGAAATAAAAAAAATGAGTACATTTATTAAGTTTTGGCTTAGGAATAATGTAAGGGATTTTAAATATAACAACGTTTCTTTTAATCTTTTGGCAACTTGTCATCATAAAAAGACACCTTTTTTTTTCAAATTTAAGTAGAAAATAAAAAGAAAAAAAATAGAAGGATTATTCATTCCTTTAGAATTAAGACTTGCCTACTTATTACTCAAAAAAAAAAAAGACTTGCCTACTTAAACCTTACTACCATTTAGGTTAGGCAACATAGTTACTTAATCTCTGACTTTGTTTTTCTATCTATTTTAGCAAACTCAATGAATGAACTATATCTTTGCCTGGGAAATAAAAAGGAAAACCGCATACTCCCTCCGTTCCATAATTATTGTCCAATCTGAGTTTTTATTTTTAGTTCAAACTGTACTAAAAGTGAAATTTCAAATCGAACGATAATTTTGGGACAGAAGGAGTAATTGTTTAAATAAAATTAACTAGCTCTCTTAAACAATTTGCAATAAAGCAGTCTAGCTCAAACCTAGAAAATGATCATTTTCATGAATTAACACAATACCCCCAGAGTATTTTGGGGATAGAGTATTAAGCCCCTTTCCTTTCACCCTAAGCACTAAAATGACATTGCTTCCATTGAAGAATTTTACAAAACACATTATCACTACTAGTTCCTGATATTGACATTTCTTCCACCAATTCACCTATATTATTTGTTAAAAATAAAAAATAAAAAATCTTGAATGTCTCCAAACTCAATCTTGCTAATTGTCATTAATACTTTTTCTTATATATGGTAACAGAGTGTTCGCAGTTTATAATGATGATTAATCTCCTCACTTGCAAATTTAAGTTATGTTTGTTTCGTTTTTTTAGCGTGTATTTTTAGGTGTTTTTCATATTGAAAATATAAAAAAGTATGTTAAAAATGTAAAAAAAATATGTTATGATAGAACAGTTATTAATAAAATAAACTGACAAAATCAAAAAAAAATCAAACAATCAGAGATTGCAAGACTTTGACCATTGAAGCAAGTGGTCAACCTCCATTAATTTTATGTTTAAAGATTTCTATTCCCTTCCTTTTGGGGTAGAATAGAAGAATCCAACCTAGAAAAGGCTGAAGTCATCCTTTCTAGTTTCTACATCTTTCATTTGTTAATAACAACACTTACGAATTCTTCCACCCAAGTCCAAAAAAAAAAAAAAAAATCTTTGTATTAACCTTCTGCCGCTCTTCCATCTGCTTATTATGATAGTTTTGCTTAAACCCATCTGAGAATCCTATGTTCCTATCAGTGGGTTCCTCTTCTTCTTTCTGTTTTTCCTTTTTTTGTTGTCTCTAGCGCATTGGAGTTATTTGGAGGTCCGAATTGCCGCGGTTTCGGCCTCAGGGGACTCTCAGAGTGCCAAAATATCCTACTTGAAGATGGTATGTTGATCTCATTGCGGTTAAGTTTCTTCTCTTTGGTTATAGATTGTGAATTTTGGTGAAATGTGAACCCTTTTTTGGCTTTTTTAACTTTTGCTCTCAAAGATCAGTACTTTATGTGTCAAATATGTTGGAGGGGTTATCATCATAATGCTTGATTATTATTGATTACTGGGATGGCATCTAATGGTAAACTAAGGACAAAGGAGGCGGCTTTTCGCCGTTTCGTTTCTGTAGTTTTGTTGACACTATTAGGAGCCCTTTTGGTAGTTTTGTACCTTAGGAGCAGTTCAGTTTCTGATCTTGTAATCTGGGAAGATGTTGAAGTTGTTGGGGGAGTGACATTTAACTATACTCAGAGAAGAAAAGGGTTGACCCTTCCCAAGCAAAATGAGTTGTCAATTATGTTAGAAAAGAGAAATCAGTTGCCTCCCAGGAACTTGGATTTGTATCCACGGTTAGCTAAGGATCGTATTGTGATTGTTTTGTATGTTCATAACCGGCCTCAATATCTCAAATTGGTTGTGGACAGCCTTGCCAAGGTTAAGGGGATTAGTGAGACTTTACTGATTGTCAGCCATGATGGCTATTTTGAAGAGATTAATAGGATTATAGAAGGTATCAAGTTTTGTCAAGTGAAGCAGATATTCGCCCCGTTTTCTCCGCATATCTTCCCGGATAGCTTTCCAGGTGCCTCGCCGAAGGATTGTAAAGGAAAAGATGACCCTGACAAGCTGAACTGTGAGGGAACGCGTGATCAGTATGGAAATCACCGATCACCAAAGATTTTGTCATTAAAGCATCATTGGTGGTGGATGATGAATACAGTTTGGGATGGATTAAAGGAGACTCATCTGCATGTAGGCCATATTCTTTTCATAGAGGAAGACCATTTCATATATCCTAATGCTTACCGCAACCTTCAGATACTCACAGAGTTGAAGCCTTCGAAATGTCCTCTTTGTTATGCTGCAAATCTAGCTCCATCTGATGTCAGATCAAGAGGTGAGGGGTGGGAAAGTCTTATTGCAGAGAAGATGGGCAATATTGGATATTCATTTAACCGGACGGTATGGACTAAAATACATGCAAAAGCAACAGAATTTTGTACTTTTGATGAGTATAATTGGGATATAACAATGTGGGCGACAGTTTATCCCTCATTTGGTGGTCCTGTTTACAGCTTGCGAGGTTCAAGGACTAGTGCTGTTCACATTGGGAAATGTGGTTTGCATCAAGGTCAGCGTGAATTGTCGGCTTGTATTGATAATGGCTCTATTAATCTGAAAGTAGCAGATGTTGACAAAGTTCCTAACATAAGGAGAGACTGGGGTGTGCATGAATATCGGAAACAAAATGGATATCAAGCTGGATTCAAAGGGTGGGGTGGATGGGGAGATACAAGAGACCATCAAATGTGTTTGGATTTTGCTAAGATGTATAGATAGCAAGCATACAGTGTCTAAGCTCCTTAACCATTATAGCTGGTGAGGTTGTCGTGTTCTTTAAAGGTACCACATAGTATTTTTTTTCCACATGTGTAATATGCAGGGCTTTTCTATATCTTTCCACTGAAGTTGCTATAACTAAATAAAGCTGAAGACTCCACTTTCTGAATTCTTGCTATCTCAACCTTGTTCAGTTTTGTTTACCATTTTGTGTTAAATCATTAAGCATTGTTTACTTTCTTCTGTTAATAAAGTAGGCTTATAACTACGTTGAGTAAATTGCAGTGATTCTAGTTCTTAAATAACTTGTTTACGTCTCAGGTTAAAAGTAACGAGGCTTTTTGTACTTTTTAGTACAGTTGAAAAACATTTGATGTCAATACTTGAATACTTGAATTAATGAATGTCAAAGGTTTAACACTTTCCCTGTTGTCTTTACATTGTGCCTGATACTTGAATTGAATAGCAATTGGTGCTGCCTGATAATAGAATTTGTTAGTTAAATGTTGTTATTGCTTACTTTGGAATGTATCAATAATGGAGACATAATAGTTACCGTTTTCCCTCTTCACATTTAGTTACGTGTTCTGAAACTTAACGTATTTGCCAACATGGCCACATTTTCACCAGAAACTCTCATTGGTTATTTGTCTCAAGAAATTTCTGCTTGATCTTTTGAAAAGCTGTACATGTAATCATCTATCCCTGTATCTTTATTGAAACTGTAATTTTCTTTTATTTGCTTTTGCCTTACAATCATGTACAAGTATGAAATAGTATCTGACCTGGTTGACAAGGTCCCAGTAAGTAACAAGGAGATAGTTTCTGTTAAAAATGCTGATAAGTGAATGAATATTTGAAGTGAATAAGAGTGGAAGAAGCTAAATACACCTTTGGTGACTTTCAGCTGAATGTATGTAATAGATTCCAATTCTCACTGCCAAACTGATGACGATGAAGGGCTTAATTGCACATAAATATGTGTTGAAAGACTAATGTCCTCGAGAAAGATGGCTTCTTTGCATCCTGCGCTTGGGCATTCTCTTTTGGCATCAAAGATTCAACCAGAAACAGAACGATACAAAAGTATCTACAAATAGGCTTGAGAATGATACCAGTTTTCTTTGATACACCTGGATACCATCAGTAAATACCCTGATCATTCTCCTACCGAAAACATTCAAGAAGAGCAACGTGCAGTAGCATTCTTTTTCCGGGTCCAAGAGGGTAAACTACTGAATGTTGTTGGATTACAAGATCTCGCACTTGTGCTAAAAGTAGTAAAAGAAAATTGCTGCTTCTTTCTGAAATTGTTCCATTGTCAAATCTGAGTCTTAGGTTGTTACCAAGTATCGGATGCTCAACTCCACAAGAATGAGAACAAAATTCTGCTTGTGTTGTTTGTCAACATTTGCTTTACCTTAAACTACGCAAAAGGTGGGTTTACAGTTGAGAATAGGTGGGAATTTTCTTGTAAACTTTTGTTTCCCTTTTTAGATTTGTAATAGGCGTTTTTCTAGTAACTTGACTCTGCTTAACATCATACTCATCTGGTTGAATGTTTTGTACAAAAGTTTCCCTTTTTAGATTTGTGTTAGACGTTTGCTAATAAGTTGACTCTACTTAGCATCATACTGATTGTTTTTTTCCTCGTGAAAAATGGTGAAACATATTATGCTCATCTCCATGATCAAGTTTCAGCTGAGAGTGAGTTGCTTTCTTGTTTACAAGACAAGCACTTTAATGTTAATCTCACTGGTGTTTGCTTAGTCTGGAACACTTCTTGTAATCTACTATAAAAGAAGGAAATTGGCATATGTAGAGAAGGGATGAAGCAGGTTGGATAGAAGTTCTCAAAGCAATCTCGTCATTAGTATGATCTTTATAATGAGTGGTGTTATGTTTACAAACTGATTATTGATTCAAGACCCAGAAACCAGCACCAGGAGTCCATTAGAGACAACGTGGGCATCTTCAAATTGCCGAATAGAGAGTTAATAAGCGGCACAAAACTACAAACTGATATAGTTGTTGCAGCGAAACCTATCCGAATCAGCCGCCTTGTAGCAGTACTATAGTGTCCTGAATTGAAAATTTCGATGGCCGGCTGACGATTTCTTTAATGAGGTTTGAAATAGTAATCAAACGACCTGAGAGCGTTAATTAAGCTTTTCTCCTCTGGATTTTAGCTAGCTGTGCTTACGAGATGATAACAGTTGATCAAGGATGTTTGGTAATAGCTTGGACGATGGCCATCTTTATCATTTATCGTTTGCTTCGGAATGTTAACGACTGGATTTACCTAAGTTGGTGGCCGGAAGATCACGGAAATCATCGGAACAGATTGCCTCCCGGCGACTTGGGATGGCCGTTGATCGGGAATATGATTTCCCTCTTTACAGCTTTCAAGTTCGGCCGACCTAATTCACTCATTTCCTCCACCTTTACTACCAGGTCGTCTCTGTTCAGTAACTATTTAGTTAGTTCGACAAAATTCACTGTTAAAATGTGACGGAAAGAGTTTTTATTGGTGATTGTAGCTTATAGTGACAATAAGCCCTCTCATTTTTCTTATCTTGGTCCTTTTTATTCTGATTACTAATACATTTGTCGATTATATACATTGGAAAGAACAGATTTGGCAAGGCTCCAATGTACAGGGCATTTCTATTCGGAAAGCCATGCATCATAGTCACCACAGCAGAAGCATGTCGAAAAGTGTTGACCGACGAAAGGTTCGGCGGAAGTTGGCCTAAATCCCTCACCATTTTGCTCGGAAAGAGAGGATTTCACGGCGTCTCCAACCAAGAACGCAAGCGTCTCCGACGACAAATTGCGGCTCCAATCCTGGCAAGCCCTGAGTCCTTGTCACTCTTCATTGACTACATTGACGGAATTGCGAAAAATGCTTTTAGTACGTGGGAGCAAATGGAGAAGCCAATTGAGTTGTTGACGGAGATGAGGAAAACCGTGTTTAAGGTTATGATTAACGTTATTTTGGGTGATGAAATTAATGAGGATCAAGAATTGATGGATTGTTTAGCTAATGACAATGCTTCACTCTCTCATGGTCTCAAATCAATGACCATCAATCTCCCTGGTTTCGCATTTCATCGGGCACTCAAGGTAACACAAAAAAAAAAATCAATTTTGGACGATTATTTAGCATCCTGTTCAAAATAAGAGTCTCGTTTATTTAAAGGTAAAATATTGAATTTTATTGACATTGGTGTTAGGCTAGGAAGCGATTAGTCGAGACATTCGCGGGATTTGTAGCTCAAAGAACGGCATCAATGGCTAAAGAGGGTAATGATGATGAATCTAAGAAAAAGAAGAACTTGTTAAGTCTGATGATTGAAATCCAAGATGATGAAGGCAACAAATTGAGTGATGAGGATATTATAGATTTGATGATAATATTCCTGATGGCCGGACATGAAACGTCTGCTCATGCCATAACTTGGGCAATTATATTCTTGCAAGAAAACCCTCAAATCCTTGAAAAGGCCAAGGTACACGCGCCTTACATTTTTCTTCAGTTTAAAGAGATCTATTGTCGCACTTTTATTGTGACGATCATATTTTATTAGAGAATTAGCATAATTTGATTAAAACTGTTAATACATTTATAACCTACTTTCCATGACAGGGTGAGCAAGAGAAAATTGTTCAGAATAGATCGTCTTCAAGTAAAGATTTGAGCTACAACGAAGTGAAGCAAATGAAGTACCTACAAAAGGTAATTCAAGTATGTGTACCACAATTCTCTACTTAGATGTATGGTATATTTTTCCACTCACCTTTTCCTTCATCAATCTCCACTTGAACTTTTGTATATTGCTTTACACTCCTCATCAATTATTGCATATTCACGATGGAACGTGTAATCAATCTTGGTGCGACTTTTAGGTTATTATTGAAACGTTGCGCTTGGTGAACCTCTCCATCACACTTTTTCGAGAAGCCACCACTGACATCAATATGGATGGTTTGTTACTTCAGAATTCAAAAACTTTGTATACTATCATGTTACTCACTTTTTGTCCCAAAAAAATATTCATGTTTGTTGAATTAAAACAGTATTACAGAACTATGTATCTTGACCCGAAAATCTTTTTTTTTTTTAGGGAAATGAGAAATGAATAACAAAAGTTTGATGCTTTTATACATATCATGTAGGGTATAGAATACCCAAGGGGTGGAGAGTATTACCTTGGATCAGAAGCGTTCATCTTGATCCTGAAAACCACAAGAATCCGATGGAGTTCAACCCTTCAAGAATGGATGTAAGCTAAATGCTATAAATAATTATGTTATCAATTTTTTATCATTCCAATCAAATTGACAATTTAGTCAATCGGATAAAATATTGTAAAACCAGCCTGCGTGCCTCTCGTTCTGAAAACTCAAATCATGATTTATGAGACTATATCCTTGAATGCAACAATTGAAATGGATTATTTATTCAAATTTTTTTTAATCAAAATGAAGGACCGTATTGAATAAAGACAAGTCAATAGATTTTGTGGGTGATTTTGGGTGGTAAAACATAGTTGATGGAGATTTTGATCTTGTCATTGATTTAATCACAATGCAGGAGGAGAAAAACAAACTAGGAACTTTGATACCATTTGGAGCAGGGAGTAGGTTATGCCCTGGTGCCGATCTGGCCAAGCTTCAGATTTCTGTTTTTCTTCACCACTTCCTTCTGAATTACAGGTAAAATCCTTGAACTCTCCCACATATGGTTGCTCTAACGCACATTTATCCATCTTCTTGTTCATCCCTACTTGTGACAAATTACAAAAAACTAATAAAAACTTCCAAATTTGTAGCATAGACATTCAAATTTTGATTTCCGTTTTATCCAGGATGGAACGAATCAATCCGGGAGGTAAAGTGCAATATTTACCAGCCCCTAGACCTGCTGACAAATGTTTGGCAAGAATAATGAGGCTATCGACCGGATCGTCGGAGACGGCTAAAAAACTAGTTTGAAAACACACCGTGAAGGTGAAATTTGCAATCCCTCCATTTGCAAATATTAATGTATAATTTGCCACATTAGTTTAGTACAATAAAGAAAGATAGGTCTGTTTTCCACAGGTTCAGAGTCGATCTATCTTCAAACAATCAACTTCAAAGCCAACCCAACTCATACCCAATGCACCTAACCAATGGTTCCACTAAATCAGATCAAATGTTCATGTCAAGGGGGACCAATTTGGGTCATTTTGAAAACAATTGACTAAACTGATGCTTTAAGTCCAAGTTAATGGACCAATTGTATGATTTATCAAGACAGAAACCAAATCAATTCAAGAAATGAGCCAGTGGCTAAAAGAGGAGAAGATCAAAATTACAAGGAGGGGAAGGGGATTATGCAGAAATTGAAATGTCTTTGATGAATTGAAAGATATTGATTTCAACCTCAAGCATAATAAACCAGTTAGTCCATGAAGGTATAAAATGTAACTGAAGGGGACAACTCCTTTTAGTGGCCATCTTCTTCTTCACAGAATTTTGTGTATTCTTTTGGACCCATTAAGGACTCTAGCTCTGAGGGATTTTGAGGCTTGACCTTGATCATCCATCCCTCCTCGTATGGACTTGTGTTGATCTTCATGGGAAAAAAACAAAAGCCACATGAGTCAAATTGAGATTACAATCTTATAGTAAAACAGGCTTAAATAAGTAGCACAGCATAATTATCTTACGAGTAACACACTGACATAAGTGGCTAATCGTCTTGTATGAAAAAAAAAATAAATTGAATACGTTATAAAATATAGTAATAGATGAATGTCACGTCAGTCACTGTGATTTTGTTACGTGGGTGTCATTGTGCTAAATCTTATTTATGTGATAAATGGAATACAGCATATAAGATATTGGAATTACCAAACCAGGAGCTTCACTAAGCTTGGGGTTGATCTCAACAACCTCACCAGAGATTGGAGAATTAACATCACTGGTGGCCTTGACACTTTCAACACTTCCAAAGCTCTTGCCTTGTGAAACAGTAGAACCAGGTTCTGGCAACTCCACAAACACTAATTCTCCAAGATGATCCTAATTATCATCCAGATGAATCAAAAAGATTAATCAAGAGTCCAGTTATTTCATCAATCAGATATAATCAAGTCCATATATATATGGGTGCAAAATGCATAAGTCCTGGAAGGAGCTATTCCCTATCCACTTCTTGATTAAAAAAAAAAAAGTAAGGTTAAGGGCAGAACTACATATATCCTTGGCGGAAAAACACTTTAGGACGGTCCTAAAGGGTTTTTCCGTGAAGGCTTGGAACCTGGAAAATTTGGGATTAAGTAATGTCACAGGGTAAGGTAAAATGTACAGGAAAGATGATATGCAACTAACTATAAACCTAGTCTATCTGGAACAAGAAATGCAACTATAAAAGTGTAACACTAATCCAAGCAAGTTCAATCTTGGAGGGAAAAGAAAAGGTTAATAACAAAACTCGCAGCAAGTTGTCATCTTTCTATGAAATAAAACATTTTCTGTAAAAAACTGATAATAGATGTGAAACCTGAGCATGGTCAGTGATGCCAATTGTAGCCACAGCACCTTCATGCTTCACCCATTCATGTGAGTTTGCGTATTTCAGTCCATCCAAAACTGCAAAGTCAGTGAGGAAACAGGGGAAAACAGAGTACATATCATAAATTCTTTCCTGAAATTTAAGATAGCCCAAGTTGTAAAAAAACAAAAAACGTAGTTTAACTATACCAGAGGAAAAGCATCTGGACAGAGAGAAAGCTGGAGAGAATCCAGGTCGAATTGCAGTAGAGAGCTTTAATGCATTGGCAGTAGAAGAAGCCCACAATCTGAGTGCCATTTTTATCCCCTTCGTCACTTCAATTTTACTTTCCTCTCTCTCTCTCTCTCTTTTGGAGTTTGAGAAATGAGGAAGAGAAGGGATTGTTACTACTAGTGAGGGAGCGTGTGTGTATGGTTCTTGTTTTTATTATCCCCTTCGAATGGTGGAAAACGAAAGCCTAATCCTCCACACTATATTCTTGGGCCAATATGCCACTATATATCTCTATATAGTAGTACTTGTACAGTTTTCCCTTTTTCTTTTTCTTTTTCTTTTTTTTTTACCCCTTATGAAATGGACTCATTTGAAGTTGTCGATATCTTTTGTTCAATGTATGTTACTTTTGCGTCTTAGCTCCAGTTTGTTATGAGTCGGTAGGATTCCAAAAATATTGGAATTCAATTCCTCATTTATAAAGACAGCGGCATATCAATTTTTTTCCAATACCATTGTCTTAGGAAATACTATTTCTTGCCATCAGAGTGGTAGCCCAGCTAGTTTGGGCTTTGGTATCAATCCCGGGAGACCTGTGTTCGAACTCCACTAACAATATTTCAAATATTGTGTTTGTACAAGTTTTCAGCTTGCACTGTCAAGTTGCCAGATTATCGAGGCGTGCGCATGTGGAGTATCTCCCTTAGCAGTACTATTCTCTTTCCCATAAATTCCACCCTCATGTAATAAATTAGGTGCTTGTAATTGTGTGTAAAAAAAAAAAAATTACAATTTCTTTAAATCTAATATACACTAAATTCTAGATTCTGGATCTAAAAAGGAGCTTGTAACTGTGGACTCATTATACTTTAGGAACTTCCAAATTCGCATGAGAATTATCAGTAGATAAGTCAATAATTTTCTATCTACTTGTATGTTAAGTTTTGATTTATACAAGTTTTTAGCTATTGTGATAGTTATATTTTTTAATTTTTGAATTACAGTTAATTAAACTAGCTTTTAGTATACTTCTACTAGTTAGTAGACGCTACTCAATTATTTGTTCTTCTTTGACGCCATGCCCTATTTGGGTTCGACTATGACTGCTTATTGGTTTCTTTCCTCATTGTTTGTTGATAACAAAGCTGCGCCATAAACATGTTTTATCATTGAAGTTCTAGATTTACATGTCTTTATGGACTACATGAGCATTCGCGTTTCATCATGAAATCGAAAAAAATCAACTTGTAGTACTTCTCTGTCCCAAAATTATTATCCAGTTTTAGATTTTACTTTTAGTACAATTTGAACTAAAAATGAAAATCCAAACTGGACAATAATTATGAGACGGAAGAAGTGTATACTTTTACTTGATGAACCCTTTTGTGTGTGTGTGTTATGGATAACTTCACTTCCACAACATTTTTAAGATTCAAGACTATTTATTTTAATGTGTGCGTGTATGTATATGTATATTTATATATGTGTGTGTGAAAAAAAATAACATATTGGATTAGAGGAATTGTTATGACACAACAAAGAGATTATTAAGAGGAGGAGGGGGGAGAATATTGAGCTAAGCTTTCAAACCATCATTTATAAACCCAAATGAATGCCTTTTGATCCCATGAATTTTAGGTCATTTTAAAATTAAAATCATCTTGAGGTATTTTTTATTAAAAAAAAAAAGAAAAAAGGATTTGAGCATTTTTATTGAACTAAGTTCAAAATTCTGTTGAAAGAAACAAAGTTTAAATGTAAAAAATAGTTTTATTTTACTTCTTATATAAATTCATTTTGGTTGCGGAAATCTGTGGCCTCATTAGAGATCTTTGGAAAGTTGTAATAACCCTATAATAATTCCACTACCGTCGATCCAAATTTTTCCAAAACTCTTTCAAAGAGGCTATTTTTGAAATAATGCAAACGAATTGGGCCGTAGAAAAGATTTGTAAAATTAAGGTACCAAAGATGCTATTTTTCCCTACTTCTATTCCCCGTCTATAATCTTTGACGAAGACCACAATTACCTATTCTTTCGGCTTCTCCCACCAAAATTTTGAAGCTACTGCAATATGATTGAAGTAGAAACGGATGATGACGGTGGGATTGGAATCGAAAAGAGCTGTAAAAGCACAAGCAATTTAACAATGGTGGAAATCATTCTCAAAAGAATTGGTCCTTCCCCTCCCACTCGTCTGATTGTCCCATCTCCGATCAAAGTACATTTCGATTCCCCTTCTTGTCTTGTGTTGAATTCCATTGTAAAATCAAGTTTATGGTTATTATGGGATGTTATCATATCTTTTCTTTAGTAGTAATTCTATTGACATCTGAGCTGGGACTTTTGCGATTTTGGGGTTTTTCCTTTTTGGGGTTTTCTTTTTCTGAAGATTATGTTTATCTTAGGATTTTTTTTTTTTTAATCATTTTGTGGTATATTTGATGAAATTCTGCCAATGTTCATGCACTGTGGGCTGTATTCAGTCCGTTCTTAGAAGGGACTAAGGGGAGGGAATTTCATACTATGATGATTCGGTGTTCTGGATTGAACCTAGGTCAGCTAGCTTTGACATTGAAAAACAAGAGCTACTTTTCTTCTTTATTTGGCTTCCATTTTCTGTCTTTGGATATTTTAGTATGATTTTGACTCTGGAGAATTTCCTAACATTTTATGCTTCTATTCTTGTTGGTGCCGATAAGGTGTATGATTTGAGAAAATTGATCGCTGAGAATGGCAACTTGCGTGCGGAAAATTTGAGCCTTATATGGCATGGAAATGCTTTGCATGACCACAAAAACGGGGATGATTCATTCGTTCAACTAAGTGATGGAGGTATTAATATCAATTTGATGTAGTGATTATTTCAGGGAATGAGAATGCTCTCTGATGTTTTTGTTTTGCTGGGGTTGACATGTGTAAGGGGAGCTCGAGGAGTTAAGGTTTAAGTAAGTAACCTGTTAAAGAACTGGAGCCATGTGTTACACGGATACATGAGAAGTTGTGCTTTATTATCTTCCAAAAGCACCTTAATGTTGGACGTTCTTTGTTGATATCATTTATCTGTGGTGCATGTAAAGAAGCAATTCGATGCTTTTCCTATTTGAGACTATTCTGCTGAGCAAGTAGTCAGAGTTGTAATTTGATGTTTGGATCGGTTGGCTTGCTTTATTTCACACTCTTTCTTCTCAAATATGAACTTTTTTCTCCTAAAGTTAGTATAGCTATTTGAAATTCTTTCTTGCTAATCTGGAAGGTTGATTCTGTATTACTGACTTCCAGCAAATTTGTCCTTAGCTCTGTGACTCACAAATGTTGAGTTTCTCCGAACTTGTTTGATACAGATCTTTTAATTGTGCTGTATAAAAACCATGGGCATTAGAAGAAAGTAGGGGTAGTGCCGATTGACGACAAAATGAGAGAATCACGCTTAAGATTGTTTGTGCATGTGTAGGGGACCAGTTAGTTGGGTAGAAACCATAGAATCACTAATTCAAACAAGAGGGATAGGGTAGACCTAAAAATACCTAGAAAGAACTATCAAAATGACTTGAAATTTGAAATTAAGGGGGGTAGGGGTAGACCTAAAAACGCCATAGAAAGAACTAAAAAGAAAAGTGTATTGATGGAGCATGTAGACAACATATGATCCATATATCCGACCCCACATAGTAGGGAGAAAAAAGCGTGTTGTTGTCTTGAAAACATAGTTTGTATGGATTTTCTACACAGTTTGTTAAAAAATGTCCTATTCGCTCCTATTTGATAACATAAACTTATATGATTCTTGATAATAATTAGTTAGAGAAGATAATTCATAAATTGCTTCCTTGAGAGATAACAATATGTTAGATGTTGGAATAAAAATTGGTTAGAGAAGATCATTCTTCCAACAATTGCATATGTAAAGAACACCCATTGCAGAGTACCATTGTACCAGGCATGCAAAAGAAAGTAATACACAGGCATGTACATGTGGAGAAAACTGCATTATTCTGCATAACCAGATACGATTTGGGGTTTTCAAGGAGATTAATGCCTTTCACCAGCTTGATATTCTAGTTTTTCCTTAGCTTTTTCCAATACAAAATTCCCTTCTAATCGCACATGACCTTCTTTGGTTTCTAGATTCCTTGATTGTTGCTGTGAAACCCAAGCCTCCTCCGAAGCACGTGCGCGATGATTTTGATGATGATGATGATGATGATGAACTGGTTGGTGCAAATATTATATAATACCAGTCTCTGTAGATCTTTTTCTCATCCTTCCATTGGTTCTTTTTCTTGATTGTACCTTTGTGCTTTTCAGATTCATGTGTTCTTCTTAGTTACATTTGTGTACTGTTTCCATATTGTAGAAGTTCCAACTTCCTCAATCTATTCACGGCTGGAGAAGGAGACTTTTTATTATATTGCGCGAGAAGTTGAAGCTTCCTGGTGAGGCTCCTATATTATCATCTATTTTTTAAGAAGATGCAATGGTAAAGTTTTTAAATGTTAATTCTCTCTTTCTGTCTCTCTTGTAGATATCATTTTGATGGCTATTTTCTCCCTCAGTGTAAAGATGTGGTTTCTCATTGTTCTATGGTTTATTTTAGCACCCTTTGCCCAAAAAATGGATCTGGGCCCTTTATATGTAAGTTTTGTTCTCCTTGCCATTCTTAACTTGTAGTATCTGTGTGTCCTGTGGTGCACTTGCAGCCTCTGCTCGTGAATTTTGTCTATTTGAGGGTCGCCTGTCCTTTTTTTAATTGGTTTTCTAAGATTATAAGCTGTCCAAGATTGACTAAAGAATTCCTTTTTCTGGCCTGAACGTGGAAATTGCAGCCGGTGATTTCTCAGGGAGTGGAAGCAAAAAATTTACGAAACTAGATTCTCAACTACCTCTTAGAAACGGCTAGATCAGTCACCTATGCATTTATTCTTTCCAGCAGACTGTTCTTTTGATGAATCCTTACGGAATGATTTGAAATGAGACTTATATGTTTACCCGGAAAAAAAAAAAAGAGAAAATGAAATGAGACTTATATCTGTGGTAGTTGAAAATCTGAACGTGTACAATAATAAGGTTGCCAGATAGAACTTAATTACCATGCATGCTTGGAAGAAGAAATTGAAGAGAGAAGATGAATAGGGTAAATAGAAACCAAAAGAACGTACAGGCAAAACATTTTGAGGATAATGAGACAGGACTGGCAATCACGTCGAATTCATAAGCTTCAGTGGCAAAATAGAAATGTTATTTCTGTGTAGTTATCTGAACTAATTTAGAGGTAATATAGTGGAAATGTGCAGGTGGTGCTTTGGAAATGAATATAGGGAAAGAAGATGAAGAGTTACAAATCAGCAACAAAAGAAATAGCCTGTATACAAAATTGTCTGTAGATCATAAATAGAAAAATGTACGGGCATTAAAGCTAAGCTATAGGAAGCATCTATGGCTTAAAATGTCATTGCTCCAAGTCCAAGTAATCCATTGCAAACCTAAATAGTTGGATGTGCTGGAAGAAATTTTAGATGGAATCAAGAACATGCAATTGCATAATAAATAATATGCATTATTTTGTAGAGAGAATGCTCTTTAGATCAACTTTCCCTTGGACATGCATGGGTGATAACCGTTGATGTATGGCTCATTTTGACAGCCAAATGTGAAATGCATTTTCAATGTTGCTTATTTCTTTCATGTTATCATGTGTTTAGATACTTGCGACAGGCTTCGCCATCATCTTCTACAACCTTGGGCACCGCCGGCCTGGTGATGCAAGGTATGTGCTAGAATTCCTGAATAGTCCTGCAAGATGGGTTTTTTTTTTTTTTCTCCTTTTGTGTTTATTGTTTGAGTTGCCTTAAAGTTTATCTTGGAAAATCTTTGTGAGAGACCAATTTGCGAAGATATGTAGCATGGTGGTAGGATTCATTCAAGACAGTCTTTCATCTCTAATCGTGCTTGATTTCTGCAGTGCGTACTCTATATTCAATGAAGACTTTAGAGAACTCCCTGGGACACTCAATGCAGACCGTCTGGACAGAGACATTCGAGCTGGTCAATTTTGAGTAAGCCGGAGTTAGCTAATCCTTTTTGCCTCGGATACTGATGTTTAGACATGTTAGCATTATACTGTATGTATGTCAACTGTATAGAAGAGCAGAAAAGTTAGCACATGCTTAGCGGCTTTGTAGTTTTGCAGGTAATAGCTATGATTCAGGCAACATATGATTTGGAAATTTCCACCAGGAAAATGCTATTCTTTAGTCTTGTACAAGGCTTTGGTTACATTGACAACATTATGGTGCTGTTTATAATCACAGCTGCTTCTTTTAATGATCATGTGGCGTGTTTGTGCTATTCTCAATCTCGTGATGGTCATCTGTTTGCTAATTAAAGGTTACCGGACCTAGTTAATTTACTTTGAAGATGTAGGACCAATTAAAGACCAGGTCTCAGTTGAGATAGTAAACATGTTTCTTCCTTCTTTTCTTTGTCTTGAATATTTGGACTAGATCTAGTGTCTCTTGTTTTTTTTTCTTGGTTTAATGGAGAGGTAAAGCCGTATGAAGGGGAACTGGTTTCCGGTTGTAAGTGGATTTGGAAATGTGTCCAAACTGTTACGGCTTCCATTATAGTCCAAAGTGCTTACTAGTTAGTATAAATCCTTACCTTAGCAACTAAGTTAATACTAAGAAGCTGGGGTATTTTGGTGCTGTGTTTTTAGGTATTATTTTATTAGAAATATAAAAAATTATATTGGGATGGTACATTAATTAAAAATATGAAAAAAAAAACCAAAGAAACATAATCAATCCTAAGGTATAGATCTTAGATTATATTATTACTCTCACCGGTTCTTATTATAAGACATTTTAATTTGTTCTAAATTTCATTTAGTATGTTCTTAAGAATAAAATTTTAAAAATTATTCAAATATTTTAATTTGTCTTAAATTTTGATTTATTATATCCCTCCACTTGAAAATAAAATCTTAAAGATAATTAAATGAAACTTAGAGCACATATAGATAAATCCATAAGAACTCTAGAGATTTTACAAACAAAAAGGAGATTTGTACGTAAATAAATCCATAATAAATATAGTGATTTGACAAACAAAATAGTCTAAATTACAAAAAAGGAAATGCATATATCCATAGTATCTTGAGATTTTACAAACAAAAAAATAGTCAAAAATATAAAAAAGGAAGAACCGCAGATCGTAAGCCCCATTCTGTTAGTCCTGTTTATAGAACCACGTGAATAACTGTTGTTCGGCCAAGTTGCTTCCGGGCAGGAGTTCAAGGCTCCACACGTGTCTCAGCCTAAATGAACTCCCAAGCCCAAGAAGGTTACTCTTTTCCGAGCCTGCATCTCTGCAGATAAAGGCCCGGGGACTTTCCTGAGCCGGAACCACCGAAGTGGATCCTAGCCCATTCACGCCGTCTGCGGCTGGTTATCCTTTCCGCATGGGAAGGTTTCTTAAATATTGATAATCTCTTGGACAATGCTCCGATGTGGGACTTTAAAAAAAAGGTCACTCTAGATAAGATATGGCAAAGATGGGTTCTTGCTCTGTTTTGGAGGCACAATATCTATAATGAAGCCATTGCGTGAATATCTACTTCTTTCATTATTTTGAATTTTTTTTGATAAAAGAGAGGGTGTATTTTTTAAGCTTCAAATCACAACGATCAGTGCACTATAATTTAGTCCCGTCTATTTGGCTCTCCAACAAGCAAAGCTCAATTGGGTATCAAGGAGATTGATATGTATACGGACTGTGAGGCACTTACTGAAAATCTGGAGGTCTCCTGGGTGCAAGTAGAAACCTAATAACTAGTTTTCTCCATGCTTAAATTAGTAGTGCAATCTTCCGGTCCTTAATATAAGACATTTTTATGTATCTTACGTTTCACCTATTACATATTTTTAATTGACAGAAAAACCTTAAAAATATTTTCTAACAATAAGAAGGAATATGAAAATATATTTTTAATATTTTTTTTAATTAAAAATGTGTACTAGTAATTGATACCTAAGACAAATTAAAATACTTTGTATTAAGAACCGGAGAGAGTATTATTAATGCTAGCAGAGATTATGTTCAAGAGGTGCATAGCATACTTACTTTCTGATATACCAGGTAGTATTTCAAACCTAAATAAATAAACAAAACCTAGAACCGGAAACTAATGTTTAGTGACGTTTCCAAATACGGTTTCATCCGAACCCTAACACATCTTATGTGATCAAACATTTTTCTTTTGACAATTGCTTACTTAATTTCCCAGTTTATTACTAATTGCGTACAACATGTTTACATATGATCAAAGACATTTTCGTGTTTTCAGTTTTTACAGGGCTTCCATCATTTTAATTTCTTTTCCCCCATTTTCTCTTTTGTTTTCCCGCCTTCTGCAGAAATTCAGAATAGAAATTTATTTTTTTTTTACACAAAATGCAAAAGCCTTCCCAACAACACTCAAAAAGAAAATGCAATTGCACACGGAGAAAATCAAAATCCTGGCATCTGAATTTGCCAAATTACAAACTCATCCTTCGTCCTCAATTTAGAGTCCCTCTATTTCTTCGTCCTCAATTTTTCATACAGACTCTTCGACGGACATTCCTACAATATTGTCGAACTTCCATTTTCACAATTTTGAGATACAGGCGAAGTCTTACCATTCAAATACGTCTTTGTTTTTTTCTAAAGGCTTGGTTTTGACAAGTTCAATTGGACAGAATGGGAATGTCACGGAGTTATTTGGTCAATATCACAAAAACGACAAATAGGTAATGGCAAAAATAAGGGCAAAAAGACCACAGGCAAATGAACTCAGTTAATCTACTCTGCTTTGTTCGATAATTTCTGCCAGGCAAATTTTGCAGCAAATTATTCGGCTCCTTTAACTACCAAATTGTTTGGTGAATTTACAATGATTAGCTGATTTATTGCGTAAAGTGAAACCGTGGTTGAAATATGATTTTTGTTGAATCTTTTAATTATCGAAATATTGATTTAAATTCTTGTTGGATTTCGATCTCGTTCTTCATACGAAAAAAAAAAGAAAAAAAAAACTATTGTGCCTTTGTCTAATAATTCTTTTTTGTTTAAAACATCAAATTAAATCATAACATTATGAGGATAAACTCTACAATATCATGTCGAATGCACATCTTTGTCACTAAAAACAATTAGTATTCTCGAGAGTTACTTGCCTTACTCAATGCGAATTAATTTAGATAGTTTCGGATATATATAATTATATCCAAAAGAATTAAAAAAGATCGTCACTAATGGTAAAGGGAGAGACTTTAGCATCTAGATTAAAAATATTTGATAAGAAACTATAGTGCATGATGGTGACATGCTTGGTAGGTTATTGAATATGTATATTTTGTGTTTTGTCAAAGTGATTGTGACATGTTTGTGCTAAAAATTCAATACTAATACAACTATATTGTGGAGAAAATTTTACAGATTATGACTTATAGAGTTCATGCAAAGTTCACACCTAGCTTAGCTACGAAAGTGATATGATCCGTCATCATCGATGCCTACCATGCAGGCCTCCAATTTCCTATCGTTCTTTCTTCTTCTTTTCTATTATTATTATTATATATGTTATTCCTTTTTCTTTTTCTTTTTTTTTTGCTTAGTTTATGTTGATTTTGAAATAAATTGGAGGGAGAATAATGTTGTTGCCTAAAGTCTCCCTTTCGTTTTATGAGCAACATTTATACATCCCAACCCTTTTGAGTTTGACTAAATAAAAAGTATTCTTGAATTTTTATTTCGAATTTCATGTATCAATCACGTCTTATATAATAAAAAGGTAACATTATGTTCAAGTGACTTCCACTTATAAAATCGATTATATAGTGGTCTTTCCATGCAACGAGCTAGTCCCCGTTTTTATTAACATACTACACTTTAATTATTAACATACTACACTTTAAAAGTAATTCTAACTAGGATTATTATATTTTACGACAAGAGTGTCAACAAGATCATTCTATCAAATTGGTCCGTATGCTACAATTCGCATGTAGTAATAATTAATGGAAGCTCTAATGATCACACATTATGAGCCTGACTCTAATCATGCATTTTGAAGCCATTTAGTGGAATTGGCTGAAATTTGAACTGCTAATGTGATATTTAGGTGTTAATGGAAGCTCATCGATTGCACCGAATTAATAATTAATCAAATCAAAATACTAATTAAATAGGATTCGAGTTGAAAGTTGATGGTTTAGAAATAGCAATTTAGCAGATCACCCACCCCTCATATCCACAATAATGGGCTAGCTGGTCGAGGATCTGTTGAACTTGAATTGCACTTTTGCCTTCTTTTTTTCTTTTTCTTTTTTTTTTTTCCTTTACTTTTTCCAAAAAAAGAAACGGCTTTTTCTTTCATTTTGAAAGGAACGAAATGGAGAATCGAATGGAAATTCTTGTTCAAAAATTCAAATTTAAGAAGAAAAAACCATTAAAATTGGATGATGCTCATAATTCTAGCTATTAGGTGGTTCATGACCGAAAATCTACACCTATACCACAATGTCATTTAACAAGGTAATCTATACATCTCAAAATAATCCTAGGTTAATGAAGTATTAAATTGTCCAAGAAGCAAGGTTTAATTTTAAGGAATTGGTCTTAATTACATCCTCTGAACGAAACATACATTTAAAAATCTGCATAAACTATCATTATTAGTACACTAGTACTCGAATAACTCTCTTTTAGGGGGCGACTTCACAAAATTTTTTCATTCTTTTCAAATGTCAAGAAAATGCAGTTAAATCAAACCATTCCTCATGTCCTAATTATAAGCTATTTTGATTTGTTTTGCATTTCATCTAGATAGTTTTTTTCACTAAGAAAAAAATACTCTTAAAACTACATTTTCATATTTATTGTGTTCTCTTAATTATTAGAAAATATTTTTAAGGTTTTTCTTTCAATTAGAAAAACATAGTGACTTTTTTTTTTTTTTTGAACAGAGGGAGTATTAATTTTTCAAATGCACAAGTCATATATACCTAGCAAGCTAGGACGAGTAATTCATTATATTATTTGCTCTAAAATTGTAAAATTCGCGAGAGATTCTGATTCAAACATTCATGATTAGTTAAACTTAGGAGGAGGCAAAACCAAAACAGTTAAAAAAAAAAAAAAAAAAAAAAAAAAAAAGGTAATGAAGGAGGCAAAATCTTAAACTTAAAATAGTGAGAAATCTCAACAACACCATGTTCTAGCAACGTTTTAGCTCTCAGAACGAAAAGAATCCAATAAATGTATTTTAACAAAGATTGTTTGCAACTTAATTAGTAATAATTGGTTCTTGCTGAGTCGAAGTAGTTTCTTAATATATATATATATGCGATAAAAACAACAAAATGGAAAAAGGATTTATAAAATTTAACGAAACA